GTATAAAAACAACAACATCCTTTTTTTTTTCTTTCAAAAATTTGAGTTAAATTAAATTACTTCTTAATTTTCTTTCATTTTATAATTACCCTTATGTTCTCTTACAAGTTCTGAAATTTATTTAAAACAAATGATTTAAGGTTGATAACTTTGATTTTTTAAATAATGCAATTAAAACGAAGGTTAGCATGCATTAATGAAGTTAAATTCAACAACACGCTACCCAATGATCAAACTTAGTTGGACCATTTATTGGATTAAAAATTTTATAAAATTTTTATGGTATTTTCTAAATTTATTCAAGTAAAACATAATAATATTTTAGATTTTTTAACATCATTTAGACACTCAAATAAACACTTAAACACGTGAAAAAATTGTTCTCAGGTGCATTGAACTCTTCAAACAGAAAATGGCATAACTTATCCCACTGACCTTCAATTGACTTGATTTGAAAGCCAACGCAAATGACTCATAAGGATTTTAAACTCCACTAGTTTTGTCGAAGAACTTAAAAAATTATATTCATGATGACATGACAAACTTCAGGCAGTAAGCTAAAAAATATTGTTTACAAATCTAAAGTTTAATATTAACTTATTTAGCAACTTTAATTATATACATGCTTAAATCAATTAAAAATTTCAATGTTCACATCAAGAAAAAGAAATAGGAAATCCTAAAGAATATTAACAAACATCTTTTAGAAATTAAACATAAATTGCATAACTAGTAAGGACATGAAACTTTTCAAATGTGATTAATTACACAGATGAAGCACCTTTCTCCATTCGGATCTTCCATAATAACATAAATCTCATTTCTTCGACCATCCTTTAATTAGAAAAATTTGTCAAAATATAAGGTTTGAACTTTAAACTCAGTAGGAGTAATATCACTTGGTGCATCTTTTTGTTGTAAACATATACACAAAGTGATGTGAAAGAATTTAATATTTCACGTAGATGAATGCTGGTAAATTCATGATTTCGAAAAATCCCCTGAAATCGTTGAAACCAGTAATGACCATGCATAAACTTCTTTGTTTATAGTTTCAAAAATTCTAACACACATCACAAGCATACATTTATATATACACGATGATAAAAAATTGTAAATACTTAGCACCATCACCTTGATTTTCTTGAAATATAAAGGAACAACATGTATAGAAGTCTTTCTCCTTCAAACTCTTGCTATTCTTTTGAGCTTAACTTAACTAGAAAGAGATTTTTGGGAGAAAAATAAAAGAAAATTCGAATTTGAGGAGAAGTGTGGAAAAAAATGCGGCTTTCCACTTCTTGTAACCCATTTTTAGTGAAAAACTAAGTTGGAGAGTTATATTATCATTAATTTTGATAAATTGAGTATTTAAATAGGAATTTAAAGAGTTTTTAGCCCAAAAAAATTTAATTCTTATAAAATATTTTATAAAACATTTACATTATGAAAAATGAAAGAAAATAAATTATTTATTTAACTTATAACCTATTTCTACAAATGTCCACTAATAAAATTATTACTCCAACTAATTAACTTGATATAATTGTTCTTAATATATAAAATGATGAGTTTTTAATTCCAAAACGTGTTTATAAAAATATTTTATAAAACTACCTACAATATGATTCGAAACTATGTTGCCAATGTGAAATAGCACGCAAATAACCATTGTGACAATCCACTTATTCATTAAACATTTGTAATCACATTTATTTAAATGTAATGCCTTAAATATTTGGGGTTTTTAATAACTTATGTCTTAGGCTTTCATTACCTTAAATAGGTCGAGTCTTTACCCCCCCCTTTTTTCTGCCACCACTACTTTGAAATCCCAAGAGTAATTAACCGAACGGGGGGGTGGGGAATTGGTTTTAAAAATTTTTTTTATTCGAAAAATAAACGTAAGTTAAGTAAAGAATATGTTGATCAATTAATAATCATAAGCAAATAAAAGCAAGTAGATCACTCAAATAACAAACATAAATATATTTTCTTTCTAAAAAAATTTAAAAGTGTCTAGGATGATATAAAACCTATTCTACACAAGCTATATAACGAGAAATCAGATCCTTTTATATAAGGAAAAATAATACAATTCACAGCTCAGAATTTTTGGTCGAATTTGCTTACTATCCCATCAGTTAGTATTTACAATTAAAAATCAGAAATTTATATAAGTCAATATATAAATATATAAAAATATGCCATATTTTCCCCACAATATACGATGTGAATATATGTTCTAGATCTGGCTACCAGTGTTCAAAGATCAATAGTTTGGTAAGCTAGGTCAACTGGTTCAGTATGGCTAAATAAAAGCATATACATAGACGCGACGATATTATTGTTACCAATTCACGTTTTGCCTTATCTTAAAAAAGCATGCAAAAGTTCAGATATTCTTATTCTTCTTTAAAACTTGTCTTTTACTTTTTACTATTTCCTGCTTCCTGACGACTTAACTTCTACAAATTAGTTCCTTTACTGGTCCATGATATTGGTACCTATTCCTTTCAATTTTCTTTGTTAGGATTTAAGAAAGTCTAAAGCATGTGGCCCTGCCCAGGAATGAAAAGAGAAGAAAGTGAGTTAAAAGTGTGCACAATAGATTCCGGGACTAGACATGGAACTTCATTTGTTTTCATAGTTTATAAATTTAGCCATAAACCAAGTTATGTGAGCTTAGCTGCTCGGATAAGTTATAGACACTCTCACTCACCAGCAGATTTAGCACTCAATGGGCATCGAGTACTGGCAGCCGCTCATGTTGGCTCTACCAAAATTTTTTCCCCTTATATTGGGCGGCCGCTCAAGCGGTCGTCTAGTGGCCACTCGTGCTCACCTCTCATTTTGGATCTGCTAGTGTTCTCATTGGATAGATTTTCAGAAAGAAATAATTGCATGAACCTCATGATATATATATTATGCCTTTGTTTGGTTCTATTAAAAAAATGAATTAAAATTTCAGTTAAAGTCAACAATTAATTTTAATCACACGTGTTATATGATATTCAATTTTTCAATCACAAATTCTATTAATTGTTATTAAAATTTACTAAAAATATAATTTTTAGGGTGTATCTAGAGAGACAAATGTAACGTGCATCATTCAAATACCAACGTTAACATCTTAATGATTGTTAAATGCCTCAAATTCTCTCAAGCTTTTTCATCGCCCTTTTTTCTCTTTCTAAGTGCATATAAAAATACAAATTAAAAATCAATTAGATATTCCATATTTACGTAGGAATATAATATGTTGATTGATTGGATTTTCATAGCTTAGCTTTGACAGTAAGGACCCTTTCTCCATTCGTTGCTTTCTGTCTTTCTTGTCTGCTTGTCTTTCTTTAACACTCTTTCCTTTTCCTTTTCCTCACTTTTTTTCCCCTTTCCTTCTTTTTTCTGATTTCCCTCAGTGGGTACCTGATTCTCTTCACCAGCTACAGTCAGAGATTATAATGATTTGAAAATGAGTAGATTTCACTGTGCCCTCCCCAAAGTGAATTCCAAATTGGGCTCTTTGGTGCTCGTCTCTGATAGACTTGATGAGCTCATTTCTGACACTCTTTCATAGCTTGAGCACTTTGGTTCCATATCCTTCTGCTGTTCGCCATCATTATACACAAACTTGAGTATACATTTCTGCATGTATTTGTGTATATATATGTATGTATCAACGTGTATTTTAAACACAATAAGTCTGTGGATAATGAGAATATTTTCAAGGACGAATGACCAAAGGAATAATAAGGGAATAACCATCATGCATTTTCTATTAAATAATTGTACTATTTGTAAAGATCTATTAGGTTTGTTTCAGTGGATGAATCTTATCTAACATTCAACACTTAGACTATGAAATCTTACTTTTTTGACAATTGAAACACATAATCCCAAGGGGGAAACAGTTACATATACTATAAAATATTTAATCATATCAAAATGAGATTTTTTTATGTTGGTAGGTTTGGCGCAAAACCTGAACCAGAGCTAACAGCCATTAAAACTTAGAGGTATTTACTTGACTTTTACAAATGGCATAAATGTTTTAATGAATGCGGCTACTCTATACAAGATGTCTATACACTAAAAGACTATTTTAACCTCGTACATGCTCTTTAACCAGCAATTCAAAACCCAAATTTAGAGATAATTTTGTCACTTTAAAGTAAATTAACTCAAGCTCAAACTCAAATGAATACATGGATTATTCTCAAAATAAAAAGAGTATAAATATGCCATTTTATCCTGTACTTAGATCTAGTCAATGCTACACTAAGCCCCTATTTGATGGATAATAAAATAATATTTTTAGTAACTTTTAATAAAAGATTATAAAATATATGATTAAAAAGTTGTGGATTTCATGAAATATAAAATTAAAATTAATTGTTGATTTCTATTTAAATTAAAATCTAAATTTTAATTCCTATCAAACAGAGGTTAACCTTTTTTGTTCCTTACAAATAAGAATGCACTTGTTAGGTCTCACGATGCTGCTTAGAAACTGTTGAATCGACTCATTTAAAAAATTTAAATCGTTAAAGATGTTAGTAAACAAAATATCCTTCACATGTTAGATATATTTATTTATTTATTTAAATTTTATCTCAAAATGGAACTTATCTTTGTATTACCTTCCCTTTCTCTTAATCTCTTTCTTTTTGGTTTACCCTCTATTTGTTTGACTGGGGGATTTAAATTATATATTTATGGGCTACATAACTAAAATAAGGGTTCTATACATAAAGGACGCTCTATTGAAAATGCGTACTAAGGCTGCAAGTTCATTGAATATACAATGGGAGCCTGTTACGATTAAGATGTAAAAACGCTACTTGTACATATTTTTTTAATATACGAGGTTAAAGGTACTGAATTGCCGACAAGATTTAATTGGCTGGTTTAACTTTGTTTTTTATCCAAAATGGTGTGAAATTTTACCAACTCAGCCATTCTGCAACCCCATATGTAAAAATAATCTGTACAAGTAGCATTTCTGATTATATTACGATTTTACCTTGAGGAGTTGCTCCACAGGTTATGACTGTCCTTATCTTGATTCCTATTTTGCTGAAGTGAAAATTCAGACTTCCTCTGAATCTCCAACAGTAAATCTTCCGAAGTATCCCCGGATGACCCGTTTTCGAACATGTCCGATCGTCCTAAAGATGTGAAAAAAATTAAGATTTCCAATTAATATAGAGAGTTTAAGGTAAGAAGAAAAATGAACTTTTTTTATAGCAATTTTAGACATTAACCCGAGGTAGCTGATGCTCTGTCAGTTGACTTCACTGTTCTATACATCTGCTAAAAAAACAAAGCCAAGCCATGCCATCAATATCAGAAATGGTAAGGTAAATTTATGGTTACTGATATATTTTTTATGTTTATATGTGTATATTTAAAAAAAAAAAAAAAAAAAAAAGAAAAAAAAAAAAAAAAAAAAAAAA